GACTTCATAGTTGCGAATCAAAAATAGGCCTCGAGTTGCAACGACTCAAAGTTTGGAGCCCTCTAAATTCGATCCTTGATAATAAGATCTCGCTCAGCCACAATATCATCAATACCGTTGATGGCATCAATGAACAGACTCGCGACGCTTTTCACAACATCTCTTACTTCTCCATCATCCCTGGACGCAAGGATGTCAGACACGAATGAGCCCTGATCATCAATGAAATTATTCACTTCGACAAGACTAGCAGCAAAACGGTTTTAAAAGTCGATACATGCCATTCATTAGGGTCCAGTGTGTTTGACTTACTATCATCCGCCAGTAATGGACCTTTGAAGCCAACACATTTGATGTAGAAAATCATCAAACCCTTCAAATGTTCTCGCTGCATTGTCACCGTGACAGAGTGTTCTTAAGGATGCTTAAAATGTCACCGTCACCCGTGCTTCAAATGTTTCAGCAGTCATGACGTAAATCCACCAACGGTCGGACGGCGTGCACACCGGGTCCTTTTCGGCAAAGTAGGTACGAACAAGGACACATTTAGCCTTGAACCAGCTACAAACTTTGCTCATAGACTCCAGAGGGGAGGTAGGTGATTAAAGCAAGCCGTCTTCATTTCGCTGATCCGGTTCTGCTGTCGACGAAGGTAGGAAATGATGGAGTCAACACTCCGTGAAGCTCGTCATTACCGAAATGGACGTACACGTCTTGTAATGCGATGTACAGCTGGTGCTCGCCACACCAAAATCAAATAAAAGCAGGATTTGCAACATTTTGGAACCTGGTGACACAACCGCTGAATTGGCCTGTCATATTTTAGCCATCGGTATAGGAAACAATGATGATGCCACGGTATTGAGGCAGCACAGCGTCGAGCGCTTCACAAGCAGTCGAAAATATGACCTTGCCAGTGTAGCGTTCGTACACTGGAATCACCAAAGAATGGACCTTGATAATTCCATACTAAAGAAGATGTAAACGGAGACGGATGTCGAAAAACGAAGTGCTCATGTGTGTCGACATATCCAGTGCAATAGTAAACGTCCAAGACTGCTCCAACAGCTCTGAAATCTTTTGTAAATTGATGGCTACAGCAAATCGAGCATACTTGGCTGCAGTCGCGGCACTGGCACACCCAATCGAAGCCAATCCTGTAAACTCCTTCGTCGACAGCAAAATACGAGAACTTTGACGAAACGTGCATGCAGCTGCAAAATGTCCAACAGAAAGGTCGAATTGCAGGGAATTCTTGATATCAATACGGTAGAGGTAGACACCTTCTCCATCTCCAAGGCCTTAAGACTCGTCAGCAATGTCAACAAACGGCTGCATCATCTTTGTGTCACTCTTGCCTTCTCAACTTCATCTGGATCCCAAAGCACGTCTCCAATGATTTTGTCGACAATTGACGCATTGATTGTATGCTGCCTCAGCACCTGCTGAGACCCAAAATGTGAATGCAAGGTGTGCTTCACGGGCTGAACATTCTCAAAGTAGCCCTTCTTGAGTTCATTAGGGAGGCCTTGGTACTCCTGCCACCGTTCGGGGTGCTGTTGGTTCAGGTGATGCGAGTAGTTGTCTGCTAGGTATAAGGCCGAGTAATACTTGGTGTTGGTAGTTATCGCACGTTTTGCTCCTGGCTTGCTCTGGCGACTTAAGTGGATACATAAACGACATTCCACTCAGACAACAGTGCCGTCCCTGATGCTCCTCTGAGAGACTCGAATACCATATTTTAGAGAATGGTCATTCTGAAAGGGAGTCTCTCGCTTGTTTTTCTAGGACATATGATATGTCTAGCTTTTCCCGCGGGTTGTTGCGGGTACCAGGGCTTTGGGTTTGGTTTGGCTGTTAGTCGCAAAGGATGTGGTCTTTTTAGATAGTGGGGAAGCCAAATTTAGGTTCCAGTTTCACTGGTCCATTACCTTTTTTCTCAAACATTTTTCTCGGACTCGCTCACTCGCTCATTCCTCCCAAGGATCTCTCAATCACAATCTTTTTATGTTTCGAAGCCATTACCAAACCAGGTTATCTACGGCTCGCCAGAAATATTATATACGGCGTCAAATCCGAAAATAACCCAAATGTCTGTAAATAAAGAGGCCTGGTCACATGTTGTACTGATAGCTCACAGTTAAAGGAACCACGGTTAAAGGATTACCACAGTTTTAGAACCGCACTTTACTGGACAAAAAACACATAAAATTTTAAGTGTATTTTTTCTATCGCACAGCTATTGGACAAAAGAACGTAGTGACGCCCGCCACCCGTCCCATTCTCCCCTCACAAGGACAATTCGCAATTTTCGAACACCTCTGCAGACAAACACGACGTACGAATGGCGCCCCGAACGCACCTTTCCTTCGTCCAGAAGAGAGCTCTACAGACACACCAGCGAGAGAACCCTAGACTCACGCAATCCGATCTCTGTCGATGGGCGCTGGAAGAGTTTGGAGTCTGTGTTGCACGGTCCACGATCAGCAGGATTCTGAGCGAGTACATTCCTGTCACCCTCAATCCGATAGCCAAACGGCAGCAGAAGGGCAGACATGCCGAGGTGGAGAAAGCGCTGTTCCATTTCGTGCTCGACACATAAAGTAAAGTCACGTTAACCGACTTCATCCTCCACCAGAAGGCCAATAAACTGCTCGAGGACGCAGATGTAACGACGACGCTCTCGCTTTCGTGGGTGTCGAGGTTCAAAGCCTGACAAGGCATCAAGTCTTACCGACTGCATGGCGAGGCGGCCTCAGTCGAGCTAGAGACCCTTGACCAGCGGCGCCAGGAACTCCGGACACTTCTCGACGGCTACGCGGCATGCGATGTTTTCAATATGGATGAAACCGGTGTATTTTATCGCATGATGCCTTCGCGGGCTCTGGTAACGATGCCTATGAGTGGCAAGAAGAAAGAAAAGTCGCGCATTTTGATAGGGATATGCTCCAATATGGATGGGACTGAGAAACTGATCCCTATTGTAATTAAAAAGTCCCTTAACCCCCGTTGCTTCAAAGCCATCGACGTTTCCAAGCTGCCCGTCCACTTCCATCCAAAAGCAAAGGCATGGATGACTGGCGGCATCTTTGTAAATTGGTTGAAAGCGTTCAATCTAAAAATGAGTGGGCGATCAGTTCTTCTGCTGCTCGACAACGCGACCTCACATGTCAATTTGGAGCTCTCAAACGTACAAATTCACTCCCTTCCGCCAAATACCACCTCCCAATTGCAGCCGATGGATGCGGGCATCATTCGCAACTTCAAGCTCAAGTACAAGGCCCAATTCGTGCAGTGGCTACTGGACATGGTGACGGCTGGGACGGAGGACAAGAAGCTCGACGTTCTTAGCGCAATCCGTATGGTGGTAAAATCGTGGGCTGAGGTGCGCCCTGAAACGATTCGACACTGTTGGATTCACATCGGAATCGTGTCGGGAGGTATGGCGGCAGTGCTCCGTAGGCAAGACGAGCCGGTCCGTCCCAATGATCTCTCAATCCTGGCTAATCTAGTCGACAAACTATCCTTATCTGATGGAATGGATACAGACGGCTATCTGGAGTGTGACAACAACCTGGAAGAATGGGAACCAGACTTCGATGCAACTGCCACCTCTGAGCCATTTCCGCGTGATGACGACAGCGACGGAGACGAAAATTCCATCCTCACTCATCGCGACGCGCTGAATGCTGCAATACAATTGTCTACGTACCTATTCGCACACAAGATCGATATTGCACACAAGATTGATATTGTGGGGATGCAGCTGCTGTCCTAGAGCTGCCGCCAACAGCTTCAACAGAGCATGCACCAGCAGCAAATCACCGATTATTTCTCGAAAGAGTAAGCTCGGTGGCCCATACTGAAATTTACAGCACTTACCTAATAGCACGCAAACTGATATTTATAAATTACTTAGATTTTTACATTTTTCTTCATATCTTACTTTGAAGTGGTGTCCTTTAAGTTAATTTCGATCTTAAGGACACAGCGAAATTTTATGGACAAATCGCGCTCTCTAACTGTAAGTTATCTGTAGGCCCATTCCGTTACAATGACACCCTGAATGCCGAAGAAAGCAACGTGACCGCAAATATGCAAATCGACATCAGGAACGTCAAAAGCTTTCGGGACTTTTCTATAAAATAGTGTCGTACAATGATGCCTTAATTTATGACGCACTGCTCCGTAATAAGCCCGTCGACGTATTTAAACCATATTAACAGTGACGGACACGGACCCTCGGCGGACGTTCCTGTGAGCTTGTGATGAAGAAGGTAAGATAGAAGATGATTGATATGTAATTCATCCAACGTGGCCACCAAGAACATGATTAGCGTTATGGCCGGCTTGCCATTGCTTAGCTACGTTGTCATCATACAGGCATCAACGTAATGCATCCAACATGTTCATATTGGATGCCTGAAGTTGATGCCTGTATGCTTGCCTCCAACCTGCTAGATGTGTATCCGCGATGCACCTCAGTCGACTGTGAGCGTCTTAGCTATTACCACAGTAGCTCTCTTCGTCGCACGTCCTTGAGCGTTTAACACAGCCCACCCTTGTAATATAGATGATAAAGCGGGCCAGGCCAAGAGCGAGCCTACAAGTAGTCTCGATATTGTCCACGTCGTTATCGTTGCGAAAACAATGGCCCCGAGACGACGATTGCTTATCCTAGTCCGCGTTCGGGGTAGGATCCCCGAAAAGCCAAGGACATACCTCTGCAGTTTGTAAATTGCAGTGCCTTCCATTGTCGCTGTATTTTACGGCCCCTTAAGCAGTCCTATTTATTGTCCATACCTAACCGTTTGCGGACGTAATGTGACGACTTGCTGCTTTTGTGTCCAACTGTACGCACAAAACAGCAGCTCCGCGTCAGCAAATTGTCGCAGATCGGGGCCGACGAAGCAAATACAATTCCCCTATCGGCACACGGTACCAAATCTGTCGCCCTCTTCTGCTTGAGCTGCCCACCATCAATTCGTGGTCGGTCCCCAATGGATCGCGTCGTTGAGCTCGTGGCGCTCTTGCAGCCGTACGCGGAGCTCGCTACGCCCCTGGACTTTCGCCTGTTGCATGAGCGCGTCGATAATCTGTCTGCGTCGCTGGGCCTTGGCAGCGACCAGCTCTGCTACGTCCTGTGCCTCTTTGCCGCATATCCACTGGCAGCTGTCTACAAAGTGCTGCCCAGCGCCAGCCTCAAGCACGTGATGGACATTGTACTGGGCGTTTCCATGGCGCAATTCGTGCTCGGGTCGGGATGGATCCACTCGTTCATCTCGAGCTCGATCACGTTTTTGCTCGTCAAGTTTGGACCGCCGACACACGCGCCGGTGCTTGTGTTTGTCTTTAATATGCTGTACATGTCGGCGTCGCATATCTACCGCTTGTACGTGGACTACATGGGCTGGACACTCGACTTTACGGGGCCGCAGATGCTTCTGGTGATTAAACTGACGAGCTTTGCCTACAACTACTACGACGGCGTGGTGGACAAGACGTTCGAGAAGAAAGGCACGGAGCTAAGTATTGGGGACAAGAAAGTGTACACTAGCCGTCAGAAACTCGCGATCAACGAGATTCCGAGCTTGCTGGAGTTCTATGGTTACGTCTACAGCTTCACGACGTTCTTGGCTGGACCAGCGTTTGAGATTCGAGAGTACTTGGACGTTACAAGTGGCAAAAAGTTCTTGGTGGACGGTCAGATCAAGCAACCGTCTAGTGTGCTGGCCGCTTTCTCCAAGTTCTTGGTGGGGTCGCTGCTGATGGCGGCATTTGCCGTCTACGGGCCCATGTACCCGCTGTCCAACTTGCATGATCCAAAGGTTGCGGCCCAGCCGCTGTTGTTCCAAATCCGGGACTTGTACATCACACTTATGTTTTGCAAGGCCAAGTATTATTCTGCCTGGAAGGTGAGTCGTCGCTTTTATTGCGCTACAGCAGATAGCGCGACTGACATTTTGGCTCCTACTACTGTCTAGATTGCTGAGGGTGCGACAGTGCTTTGTGGCTTTGGGTTTGAGGGCTTCGACAAAGATGGCTGCGGTCGTGGCTGGAACGGCGTGAGCAACATGGACATTTTTGGATTTGAGTTCTCGCAGAGCATTCGCGCAGCTTCTCGTGCCTGGAACAAGGGTACACAGAACTGGCTCGAGCGTTATGTGTACACACGCACGGGCAACTCGCTCATGGCCACGTACTTCATCTCAGCCTTTTGGCACGGATTTTACCCGGGCTACTACCTCTTCTTTATGAGCTGTAAGTGAGTATTGCTGACTGGTCGTTTAGCCGACTGAGCTGATTCGTTATTCGCGTGTGCGTCTTTTCTTGCAGTGCCACTAGCTACCGCTGTGAACCGCCTAGCCTTTAAGCGCCTTCGTCCGCGTTTCATTCAGGCTGATGGATCATTCGGGGCCAAAAAGAAAGTTTACGACTTCTTGAGCTATGTGGCGACACTGCTGGCTATGCATTACTTTGTGATGCCTTTTCAGGTATAATGCGCATACTGGTGCTTTGGATCTCATTTCTTACTAATTGCCGTTATTTACGTTTGGTTGTACTTTATCTGAACCGCAGGCAATGTCGTGGGAGCATTCATTGGCTTCGTTGAAGAACACCTACTTTGTTGGCCACATTGCTGCAGTCGTGCTGTACATCCTCTTCTCGACCATTCCAGCACCAAAGCCGAAGAAGAAACTGGAGTAGAGAGGTCGGGAAGCAAAAGAGATAGACAATCAAGGACTTTGCTTGCACCTTGCTACGCTGCAGCTTTCTCAGTCGTCTTGTAGTAGACGTGGAAGAAGTCTTTCAATACAGAAGAATGCAGTAATCCATTTTGGAAACGACACTACAGTATCGAAGGCCGCGTCAAAGTTCGCCATGAGACGCAAGCGCTTTGATCTCGTGGCAAAAACGCTGGACCGGGAAGCCAATGACGTTGTTACTGCAGCCGTGGACTTCTTTCACGAAACACCGCGCCCGACCTGTTTGCAAAGCACTCGTGAGCCCAGCACACAGTAAAATCGAACCTGACGGATAAGCCTTCCTCACCTTGAAGCCCGTACGCTCCCGCCTTGTCCATTGGTTCCCCTGTCGCAATGTAAGCTACGCAACCACAGAGTCAATATAACGAATGGATCGAAAATCTGACAGCCCCGTCGACGTACCTCGGATATCATCGGGCTCCAAAGGACCGAATGCCAGATGAGTCGTTTCGAAAAACAAGTGCGGATGATCGATCCCTCGTTTGGTAGTAAAAATCGCCACGCCTGAGAACACTTGGTGGGGGCGACCAGATAGCTTTGTCAACATGTTGAAGGCGTCCTGCTCATCTTTGGGTTTTTCCAGGATAACCCCGTCCTGCACCACGACAGTGTCGCACCCAATGACGACTACCGGGAGATCTGACTGGTTTTCCTTGCCACTGGATACTCGATGCAGCACTTCTAGCGCTTTTTGTTTGGCATTTTCGATAACGTAGCGATCAGGTGTTGGGAACTGTTCTTTGGGTAGGTTTTCCTCGAAAGAGGACGGGATCACCTCAAAGCTGAGGCCCTGGGTACGAAAAGAAGGGTGAAAATGACAGAATGTACAATAAGATGTTGTTACGAAATAGAACGCACGCAGTCACGGAGAAGTTCGAGTCGACGAGGGCTCTGCGATGCCAGAATCACACGACAGTTCTGCAGATGCTTCGAGAGATGCGATAACATTGCGCGCGAAATGATAACTAAAACGAATAGGGGGCTCCAAAGTAAAGCATCAGCCAGAGAGCTGAGCTCGTTGGACCGTGCTTAACACACACATGCGAGCGTAATTGTAGCAAAATGAGCATTTACGTGACCTGTTTGGTAAGAAAACCCCCTAGAAGGACTCACTATGGTTTTGGTCAGGGGTAGCTAGTTTGCACCTTTACGAGCATTCTGCCTTTAGCACCCACAGTTGTGTACGGCACCGCGCTCCGACCTCGCGGTGGAGACGTCAATAAAGCAGTAACACCGGCTGTGGTTGGCCTCATCTGTTGTGTCTGTGCGGAATGTGAGACCAACAAAAGCGATGTTTCTGTGGCGGATCGCAATGGTGAATTGGCTATTTCCCATTTCGTGTACACACGAAGTCAGGTCCTTTGCAAATACTTGATTTTGACGTGAACGAGTACTAGTAGTACATGAAACGTGCATCATAAATATACGCCTGCACTAGTTAATCTATCTAAAGCAAATTCGTCATCATTTACGCACGGCGACTTGACCACCCGGACATATCTCTTGCTCTTGACTTCACGCCGCTCTTTTTCGCCAACACGATAGCATTTACGACCCTGTGGGTGAAGCCAGCCGATCTACAATTGTCCTGGTTGACCGATCATGCTGTTTTGATTGCTGATCTCATGAGCACATCGACACGAAACTGGATACACAACATCTTACATATTGTTGTATACATACTTGTGCAACGTTTCTGGCCACGAATGACAACACGCATGCACTTTGAGTCCCGGCCGATAAAACGCATAACATATCGCCCGTAACGCGCAGTTGCGTTGGGATGGCGTCACAATTCTGAGTGTACGTTTCGAGCACATATCTTGTTATCACCAATATTATCAGTGTCAATTCTCGAGTCCAGTCAATTCTTGCCCAATATTTACAGGCGTCAAGTAAAGCCGATAAAGCATCGTTGACCTACGATAATTCTCGCCTTCTTTCACTCTACATTTTCATATTGTAGCACAGAGGCACGGAAAAGGTGCGAGACTGTGGCGATATTAGTTTTGCGCACCTTCTAGCTGCAAAGTGCTTAATGGCCGTTTTGTTAGGCAAAGAAAGCATTTTTGTAATCCCGCGAGTCCGTGAATGATGTGCCGTAGTGGCGGGTACGATGATAGTGCGCAGCTCGAGTTCGGCTTCTGGCATCATTTTTCCACTATTTCTCACATACAGTCTATGCATGATTGAATTTACTGACGGACACTTGCGCATCGCAAATGAGTCAAGAAATGCTGCAATCAGTTCGATATCAGCTATTGAGTCGTTAAATGTAGAGCCTAAATACGCAATTGTGTACAACTCTTTCAGTGAGTTGTGCTTTGTACACTCACAGAAAGAGTCGTATACAATCGCAATTGATCTGTACATGCTCACGGCGTCTCACGGCGTTCAAGTACTGTGCTCCGTCGTGTAATCTTACTAAGCATGCATCGAAGACTTGACAATTTACAAAGAACTTCGTGACAATATTCAGCTCAGGAAACACTCAGATCGTCCCCGCACGACCCTTCACGCAAGATGCAATGTAGTTTAGAACATGACAGGTATGTAAATCAGAACAAGCTGCAGCCACTTGACGTGAAGCTAATGTGATGCTTTTCGATGGTTGGTAGTAATAGATCATCTTTTAGATCGCATGCTTGAATTTGGATTTCCCACGAAACAGTAGATCAAAGCATCTACTTTCTGATGTCAATATATACTTTCATACAGGGTACCACACTACAGCATATCATTGATAACCTGTATGTATATAACAGTATTACGCCTTTGAAGCTCCATTTTTTCATCCGCAATAACAGACCCTTTCTGCCACATTCGGTATATATACACCACATTTGTTTTGGCCGCTCCTATTCTTCCTTTCTCTACAACCAACTAACCCTAGAGCTGCTTTGCATATCAACGCACAATTTCTGCTGTAATCAGACACTTGAACCGGAACTAACAAAACGATCTGGATATTTGTTTGTGAATGTTCGAAGGCAACTAAAATGATGCTAGTGTTGTACTAGATCTAAATGCCGTAGTAAGGTATATCGGCCGCTGGGTTTCACCTTGTGTTCTATACTTGCTATAATAGCATCTAACGGCCGGAGATTCACAGAGCTTTTCTCCGTTAGCATATCGTCAACACAAACTTATTTGCCAGAAGTGTGTTTGCAATGCTGATCTTGGAAGTCACGTCGGCTGAATGGTAAACGCTGAGCTTCGGTTTAGGCCCCCTTTGTAGCACCTTCAAGATCTTTGGTCGGTATTGTATGCACTTGGTACGCACGATATCACCATAAGCAACAATTAACAGAGCTTGTTATTGTGGCTACACTAAAGGCCGTAAAATTAACAATTGACCAGTACTCAGCATACATGATTTGTAACTATCGGTTACCGGTCCCGCATATATGATGGCTCAACGTTGGCGCAATCCTACAAGTTTTTCCAAATGTACGACACTGCATCGCTATTTGACGTAGCACCTTGTTGCTCAATTAGATGGGGTCAAAAAGACAAAACACTTTGCTGAACGCGAATGGATCATAATCATTATACAGTTAATGTTAATCGAGTCACCCACTTTTGGCGTAGGGAAACAACTTATTGTGTAGTGATGTTTGTAGACAGGAAAGAACCAAAACTAGATTTTGTAGATCGCTTTATATTTCACTGGAGATTTTTGTGCTGTTACGACACTGTATGATGTGTTTTGGTGTCAACGCAGAGTTTGGCATTCCGACGAATTAGTTTATAGAGGTTGCTTTGCCAGATCACAACACCAAAAACACGCAATTTATCGATGGTATATTATAAAAAAATAGTTCGATATTATACAGGGATCGCTCCATGCATTTAATATTTACATATATCTGTATATAATGTACATACGCAAGTCTGTAATCAGACAATTAACGAGAAAAGCAGAACAAAGCTTTGATCGAATTTTATGGAAGAATTTGACCAAGGCTGATCAAAAGGAAGAAACCGAGCCAAAATTGGACATCGTGCAAAAAGTCTATTGCTACAAAATATATAATGATGCGATCCTTGTTCTTCTAGGATAAAAATCTTATACACACATTCAACCGCGCCGAGCCCATTTTTATACAGCTTTATGATGGAGTAATTGATGATTATCTTTATTGAAGATCATGCCATACAGGTATAATACGATTTCAAAGTAAATATATGTCAAAAATGGGACAGAATGACAAAGGATTAGCACTTATTTAGTTGTAGAGTACCAACATTTACGATCAAGCGGTCTATTACCTGCTTATAGGATTTAAAGTATCGTCACAGCATGCGTCAATCGAGAGGGGATTGTGTTTACAAGTTCATGCAAGGTAAACGACCAGTTCAGTGCACGATTTTGAATCTGTTCGGAGATTTTACCCAGTAACGTAAATAAAACGATTCGGACTTATCAAAAATCACCATGGTAAAGCCAGCTTAGCGGCGGTTTATCCACATCGTTATAGCTTCATAACATTATTACACGAAATTCTGCGAGTCTAACAAAATCAGTCAAATTTAAGCCCATTTTACTGGGTACCGGTTTGGTAAACGACTACTGGGGGGATGCTTCTGCTAGCATTTCTTTGGAAACCAGCCTGCCTGCAATTTTGAACCGTTGTGACAAGCTTCTTCTGCTTGTGTACAAGCTCTGGAGGGAGAGTGCGGATCGCATTCTGGACTGTGGAGACCGAATTCGGTCGGCGAACAAGCCAGGATTAATTTCCAAAGCGCCTTTTACTCCCCCAGCTTCATACTCACTGAGACGCTTGTGGATTTAAATAAGGGAAATATAATATATTTTAGTACCCCGGAAGCCCTAAATTGCATTACTGAAGTTCTCGATGATGGCGGTGCGGTATGCATAGCACGCAATATCGATGGATGTCTGTTTAGACAGCGCTGTATCTGCCGTTCCATACATTTAAAGCTGAATATGCTCTTGAACATTTTTTTCCAAGGATTTAAGCATGACCACGTCAATCGGCTGGTACATGTGCGTAACGTTTGCTGGCAAGGCGACCATTAGGATGCCATATTCGTAGCAGAAGTTCACCGACTCTGAAACAAATACCCAATAAAAGTTTTAATGAGAAAGAGTATAATGATAAAAAGGTTTTGTAGAGCTTACCAATATTCACATGTTTACAGACCCCTTCAATCATGGTCCTGATGTGCTGGTCCTGCGCCCTCTTGAACAACGGACGTAACGGAACAGATGACGCCCGCGCTATTTCGGCGTACGATTCACCGTTGCACACTCTCTAGAGAGCATCGACGACGTTTCTTCTTGTAGTGACCGCGGCGCATGACCATCTGATTTCTTTTTTGTTTCGTTTTCAATGGCAGATAATGCCTCTCTTTCTTACGATCCCTTCCTAAAACAATAAAAGTGCTTTGGGCACTGCGAATCGTGCATTAAACCGGTTCAAAAATCCTCTACCAATCAAATTGCTCAGATTCGAAATATTCAGATTTTATTGGATAGTATTCAGCATCGTGCACTGAAGTGATACCGTGCACAAAACCGGATATTTGCCTTACACGGAAACTGTGACTTCGAATCAACGATATACGTAAAAAGTAGGAAAAAATGATTTACATATAAAGGTTTATGCTACATCAATCTGCCTGATCGCCTTTGTGGTCACTTTGATCTTTGAGTATTATAGTTTAATGTCGTCGATACGGGTAGAGAAACACGTTATGCGCGACATCTTCGTGTAATAATTTATTGCGCAAAGAGTAACGTATTTATAATGAATTTCGACTTTACCTATCACAAAGCACATTCATATATAAACCAGCTAATTTGTTTGTTAACATGCAGCACTTTATATCGTTCTATGTGCTCATATTGAAGCCAAAGATTACAAAAAAGATGCTACGAGGCGGTGGTAGTGATGCGACTAATGCTAAGGAAAATAGAACGA